CACTGGTCCTGGACTTTGCAACCATGCAAGATGCTTCTGATTCAAATGCAAGGAGTGCCCCTCTTTCACCCGTCACTAGACCGGCTGATCCCGAACGAAGAGAAAGTTGGCTTTCGGATGACGAGACTGCTCCCGCTCCACAGATAGACTTTACAAGAAAGGATATCCATATCCCTTCCCGCACCAGGTACTCCCCTCTTCTCCCCCTTCGTTCGTTCCTTCCTTTTACTCATCCCCAAATAGTTCCAGCACCCCTCAGGCCAACAAGAAGCGCATATCATTGCAACGGCGACTGAGTGCAGAGCCATCTTCACCTAACAACGGACGTGTAACACCAGACATGCAACAGACGCGTACCCGAAGTATGTCACGCACATCTAGTGCCGTGCCACAAAACATACTGTCCTCACGAATCCCCATGAACGAACAGCCGACCACGATACGAAGCTCAGCCGACTCAGTCATATCATATGAGTCCACCGCCCCGTCTTTCGCAACGCGACAACTGGGTCCTCTCCAACAAAAAGCAGATATCATCGAGGACGGAGACCGACTATCGCCATTACTGGAAGATGACCCCCAGTCATTCGATCTTGTCTGCGGACCTATCGAGAACTCACGATCACAATATTCTCTCGAGACCAGATCAGAGCAACTCTTTTCGAGAGAGCATCTAAAGGCCATCTTTGCCGACACTGCATCGCTACTACGATTTACGTCATTCCTGAGCATCGCCCGGCCCAACTCGCTTCCTACTCTCATCTACTACCTCGACGCACTGAAAGCGCTACGAGCCATCAGCTATGCCAACGCCGTCGCAGAAGCCCTGGAACCCATTCAGGGCTTGGACTTCACTGAGACTCCAGCGCGGACGACCATGAACGCAGTGTTGGAGGAAAAGGCCAATCGGGCCTTTGACGTCCTGGTCCGTGACGATCTTCCGGCTTTCATCACCCACGTCTTCATTCAAGTGGTTAGCGTGAGCATTGCGAAACGCGTAACAGGAAATTTACCTCCGATGCTTCGTGAGGCTAGCGAGGGTCTGGCCGAAGTCTTCTGCCTGACAGACCCATCTAGGACTGATAACCCGATCATCTTTGCGTCGGAAGGTTAGTTTACCGTTGCGCCTTGAAACTGACCGTTGGTTAACGTGAAACTAGAATTTCACCGCACGACTCAGTACGGCGTTGGGTATGCCATCGGTCGCAACTGTCGCTTTCTCCAAGGCCCGAAGACGAATCGGGCCAGCGTTGAGCGCTTTGGCACAGCGGCCCGCGAAGGCAAAGACCATAGCGAGGTGTTCCTGAACTAGTAAGTGCCGAGGTCACTCTTGCGATTTCATTGGTGAGCATTTGTTGACTTCAACACAGTCGCCGTGATGGATCGCCATTTATGAACCTTTTGATGATTGCGCCTCTTCTTGATTCGCGCGGAACTCTACGATACTTCATTGGCGCGCAAATCGACATTTCTGGTCTCGTAAAGGACAGCACCGATCTTGAGGCTTTCCGGCGCATGCTCGATGAGGAGGAGGGCCAGAAAGAGAAGGAGCCTCAGAAAGATGAATTCCAGGCGCTCAGTGAGATGTTCAATAACACCGAGTTGGACACCGTGCGCAAGTACGGCGGCAACATGCATAGGGAGCATCTAGAAGAACAGGACGACGCGAGCATACAGCACAAACCCAGACTGCTGATCCAGGACCAATCGACCTTTGACGTTGACAGGGCTGAGAAGCCAGCGATCAACAAGGCAGACGGCAGGCTGTCTGGCCCATACAAACACGTAAGTTGCTGCCGTTTCTACGTGACAATGCGAGGAGACTGACATAATTTAGTACCTCGTTGTGCGCCCGGCGCCTTCCCTGCGTATTCTCTTCACATCCCCATCTCTCCGTGTCCCCGGCATTCTCCAGTCGCGTTTCCTCGATCGCATCGGCGGAAGTAACCGGGTCCGAGACTCCCTCAGCGACGCGCTTGCAGATGGGTCGCGTGGTGTCACAGCGAAGATTCGCTGGCTGCCGCACGCCGTATCAGACCTCGAAGACTCTTATGAAGAGGGCCGACCCAGGTGGATACACTGCACTCCTCTGCTCGGACAGAATGGATCTGTGGGCGTCTGGATGGTGGTGCTCGTTGACGAGAAGGAGCACTCTGCACCGCATCGCAGATTCCGCCAAGCACCGCCCATACCCAACGACATCCGCGGCAACAGCTTAACGGGAGACAGGCGACCCTACCAGACCCCTCGATTCGATGAGTATGGCAACGATACCAGTAGCCAGCGTACCCCCTCACGCGGCGCGTCTCCTTATGCGAACGGCAATGGCGTATCCCGTCATTACGACAACTTGCGCAACCCCTCGACTCCGACGCGAGCGCAAAGCCCAATGACTTATGATCAGCGTGGAATCCGATCAGGCGCGTCGTCGGTCAAAGACTATGTCAACGGGGCACAGGCTAGTGTTGATTCTTTCCGCATCTAGCACTGCTGATTCCCTTTCAGGAAGAGGAAGAGGCAGCGTTGGGAACGGCAACACCGGTTCGCATGGAGATAAGAGACGGCGCAACAAGAATATACTGAGAGAAATACGGCATGAAGAGTGTTGAGACTGAGAACGAGATGGTCGCATATAAAAAGAAGATGAAGGATATATAGACCGGGTGGTCGGGCTGTACTGCGCTGTTGTTCATCTGCTCTATACCCATTCTGTAAACGTAACTTAAGCATAGCATCGATAGCGGCGTTCATTTTCATATGTCCATAATTCTTAATATACATCACAAACAAGATCAAAGTAATAGGCAAGTGATAGGGCGCATTGCGCAAGAGCAGGCCAGCGAGTGTAAGCGAGTCTTCGCCGCGGGAGTGCCGCCATGCATCATCCCTCCAACACCTCGCATCAACAACAACCCCACTACCACCCCCGACGTGTCGCTGCGTGCCCAAACACACCCCGTCTCCCACCATGGCGACAGTACGGCCAATGCGCCCAACCGATCTCCTCCGAGTATCCCAATGCAACCTCGACCACCTCACAGAAACATACAACATCGGTTTCTACCTCGAGTACCTGACAAAATGGCCAGAGCTGTGCCAGATAATAGAAGGCATGGACGGCGAGATTGAAGGCTACAGTACGATACCACAGATCTTATATGTCCTATCTCATATTGCAGACACAATGTGGATGCTAACACCCCCCAAGTCCTAGGCAAACTCGAATCCTCGCCCTTCGACCCCCCGATAAAACCCTACAAGCCCTCCACAACCGGCGTCCAATACCCCAACTACCTCCCCTACCACGGCCACATCACCGCCCTCACCGTCGCCCCCTCCGCGCGCCGCCTCGGCTACGCAACCGCGCTGTCGTCTGCACTCGAACAATCGTCCGACGCGGCCAACGCGTGGTTTGTGGATTTGTTTGTCAGACGCAGCAATGAGATTGCGAAGGAACTGTATCGCAAGATGGGGTATAGTGTTTATCGGGTTGTCAAGGATTATTATAATGATGGCGAGGATGCGTTGGATATGCGGAAGAGTTGTAGTAGAGATGAGAAGGGGGAGTGTGTTAGGAAGGATGGGGAGGAGTGGGAGGTGGGCGCTGAGGACGTTTGGTGAGGCGGTAGGAGATGATGAGCTATATTCTTGAAGTGTGTGAAGGGTGGTGCGGGACGGGAAGGAGGATGCTGTATATACCCCGGTGCTGTGGAATTGAACGGCGGATGAGGCATGGCGGATGCATTGATATCAGTTACGGGGTAGATGATGTGAGTGAGGAGAGCATACCTTACTTGCGCTGCTAACAAGAACTCAGACCGAGCGACTACGAAAAGATAGTCTTAAAGAAGCATGAACATTGATCTTCAACGCAAGAACGGGCACACCCCGCTTCCATGCAATTAAAAATTCCTCAACATAACCCAAGCCAGGGTCTGGAACATATTCTCGACAAGTCTACTCACCAACCCAGAGCAGCCATCCCGATCCCCAAACTCACACTCGAAGTAACGTGCCACAACCAGGGAGCGGATCGGCCACACGGGATCTCGGCACCCGGGATGCAACGGTCAGCACAAACGAAGTTCCCTTTCCCGCGAATACGAGTCTGTGGGTAGATGCGCATGCGGAAGGGAGATTGCGTTTGCAGGGCCGCTGGCAGTGCGGTGTTGGGTTCGCGATGCACGTTCCCGTCGCAAGACACTTTTGGATGTGTAACCTTGGATGGAGGTACAACCCAAGGATTGGTTGGTCCGTGCTGAGTGAGCGAGCACATCGTAGGAGTGGTCTTCTTATGGCGATGGGCATCGGCAGTGAGGGCTATAGAAAAGATTCTGGTTGTGGGGAATCGTTGAGAGAGAATGAAGGCTAGTAATAGATCTCGAAGGACAGTAACATTTCACACAATTTGGCACTTCCTCGTCGCAGAATTATATGTAATCAAATGAAGGATGAATCTAGCTGGAATATGTTCTTTACAGCGGCTGGCACTGAAGAGAGATGGAACGCGACAAGAGTCCTGAATGTTGTTGTAGTCCGTAATCGTGTATCTAGGTGGCTACATTACATCAACACACAACAGAAGAGTAGAAGCAGCGCAACGTATGCGCCCATTGCACTATTTGCACTCGTCTCAGCACAATAACTATTCGAAGTGGTCGGTCGTATGCCACTTATCTTTACTGGCTTATTGTGACAATAGCAATCTTTTCCCTCTCACTTCATACCTATTGTGCGGCGCGAGGAGATGCCTGACGCCTAGCGTTGTTCCCACGAGCTTCTCTCACTTTTGACTCACAATCCCTATTCCCACAAACCCCGAATCCGTATCCACACCGCCAAGCCTCTGGTCGATATAAGATCTCAGAGTCGGAGCAGCTGCCATCCTTCTACCTTCTACCTACTACCTTTAATCTTCTACCTTACATCTCACACATTACGACCAACTTCCACTCCACCCACTCGCCCGCCGACCACTGATGCCTGGATTCCAATTCAAAATGTGTCTCAGCATCAACTTCTCGCCCAGCGCATGGCAAGACCCTCTCTCCATTCAACATTCTTTCATCGAGTACATCTGCGAAGCTGCGTACAAGTATCGTCTCCAATCAGCCGCTCACTACAACATCCCTATCGAAGTATGCCAAGCCACCCATGCCTCGAACCCAGATCGACTTGCGGACATCGACAGAGACTTCATGCTTTACGTGGGCTTCTACAACTTCGGCACCGACCCTGTCTTCGCCGTCTGTCGCCCGAAGATCGCGAAGCGTGGACGCGAAAAGGGAAAGGTCATGAAGGGAGCGGTGCAGGTATGGTCGAGGAACAAGTTCGTACCGCTTGTGCGTTTCTTCGAAGCTGAGTTTCCTCCGCTTGATGGGCCAGTGGCGGACGAAATCATGTACCAGTGGTGGCATGCCAACGGCGATACCTTCAATTGGACCTCACTGCCCACTGAGGTCAAAGAGCGAATCCTCATGTTCTGCATGCATCGTTCTCCGCCGCTACCTGTCCAGAAGAAGTCCAGAGGCCGCGTCCGCCATGTCAAGCAAGGCGCACCTGAGATCGTTGGCCAGTTGGGCAAATGGGCTTCCCTACTCACCGTGTCACACCAAGTTCGCGCGATCAGTCTTCGCCTGTGCTTCGCGGGAAGCAGAGACTTGGAGTTCAGCAACGGCCTGTGCATCGTGGCCGAAAGCTTGTTCAGCTTCAAGCGCAGCATTCGCAGACTAGACAAGCATCGTCAATTGACGGAAGTGAACAGTCTTCCGACCGATGACAAGAACTGGGAGCTCGAGCAGACGTACAAGTCTTTTCCGAAGCTTTACCCACACCTGAACCGATACGCAACCTTCTACCACGGTATCCGAAAGATATACCTCCAACTCTCCTTCATTGACGGACTATATTTCTTCAAAGTGACCGCTGGTTCTTTCGCGCAACACCTAAAGCCACGTCAACTCAGCTACGAAGTGTTCGAGACAATTCCACACTTGAATGAGTTGATATTCAAGCTACCAGATGCTACTGGATATCTGGAAGATGATTTCCGACAGCAGCCAGTCAGCATCTTTTATGGCGAACCATTCAATTGTCCCCGTACCCTGCACCGACTCATCTACGAGAGCGCGGCTAAGGTTTTGGCCCCGTACAAGGTCGTCAAGTTTCACGGGTTCATGGACGAGGAAGAGCAGGTTCGATTCTTGAAGCTCCGCGACGTCGCTAAGAAGAGTTTAAGGATTACTACTGAAGAGCTGGAAGAGCTATATAAGGAAGAAATGGGGGGAATAGAGCTGGGAGAAAGTGTTGTTCCTGGCGTTGAGAAAGAAGAGCTTGTGAAAGAGGTGCGCGATGTCATCTACGATGAGTTTTGGCCGCCCAAGTGTCGCTGTGAGAGGTTGTGCCGAGAGGTCATTCATTCGAGCTATGACTGAGAGCGAGGCAGCTACAAGCCTACCACTTCGTGTTCAGAGCCTTATCATGTAACAGCCGGCTGAAAAACATGAAAGCTGATCCGCTGAGGAGCGCGGCACCCTGTTGATGATCAGTGCTTGCATGGGTCATGTGCTCATAGGTAGAGAGTAGCTTACCGAAAATACGATCAACCATCGATACCCATCCTTTGTGTCATGATCCGTGATGAGTGCACCGCCAATCGGCGTACCAACAAGACTCGCAATGGCGATAACGCTGTAGAAAGCTCCAATGCGTGCTCCCAACTTGTCGTCAGGTGTGATGTGGCCGATTATCGAGGGCGGAAGAGCAGTGACATTGCTAGTCAAGAAGCCGTATACGCAGACGAAGAAAATAAGAGTAGCCATGGAGTTGCCAAGTAGCCATAGGAAGAGACAAAGGCAGCCAGAGATGAGGGTAATGGGCCAGAGTAGGTTCAGCCTGCCAAGTCGGTCTCCTATGAAGCCTCCAAAAGTTGCGCCGATGATGCTGGAGCCGTTCAGCATGCACAAGAAGTAGTCGCTGACTTTGTTACCAGGGTAGACCGAGTTAGCATATGGCTTAAGATAATACGCCGGGATCCAAAGGCCTAGTATGGCAAGCCACGTTCCCATACATAGTACGGCATAGCGTGTGTCGAGGAATCCTTTGAAGTCGATAAGCGAGCCGAGCCCTTTGCGATCCGGTTTGCCACTGGGCTTGCTTGTAGAGATACGTAAAGCAACTAAGTAGCAAACACTGAGACAGTTAGCTGATAGAAGACTGATGCGGCGGCGGTAACATACGCTATCTTGACAGCAGCCAGACGTAGCGAGTTTGGGAAGCCTAATCTCGGCAGTAGTTGATCGAACATCAGCGGGAAGCCAATTCCACCCAGTGCCGACCCTGTAGATACTAACCCCATAGCCAAGGCACGTCGCTCTTTGAAGTGCTGGCCAACTACCGTGACCGCTGGCTGTACACCGAAAGCAATGGTAAAGCCCATCAGCAAGCCTTGCGTCATCAGAACCAACCAAAACTGTCCAGGGTGTATGAACGACAGTATGATGAGGGCCAGCACAGTGCCAGCGCCTGAGCCAAGGTAGAGGTTCTGATTATGGCGTCAGTCTTCTTCAAGGAGTGGCGGGGACGAGTACTAACCGTAACACCATATCGATCGCAAAGAGCACCGGAAAGAGCAGCCAGTAAGTTCATGAGCGCCATCTGAACCGTCCCAATGAATGCGATAGTCGATGGCGGCGTCTCTTTCAGGAAGTCGCTGCTATAATAGTTCTGGAAGAAACCAAAGCTGTTCATAACCCCAAAGGAGGCGTAGTACACCAGTATGGAGCCCAAAACCGTGAGCCATGCCGCACGCCCACCCTCGCGCACCTGTAACTTATACGATTCGGTATCCGTACTGCTTTCCGTGTCGTGACGTCCAAAGGTATCTATGGTCTTTTCGGTCATTGCGTAGACGTTGAGAATGGCGGGCTCAAAGTAAAGATATAGGTTGATCTGCGTTCTTCACCGGTCCTTCGTCCAACACTATATATAGGCTTCGTTACCATACCACACAATTCATCGACATAATGAGGTCTAGTGGAAATCGAGCTTGCCAGGTCATGAGAGTACGTCGGAAGGGAACAACCGTTTACGTTAGCCGTTCTACCCATAGCCCCAGTGTACGTTTTTTCTGTTGGCTTGGTATGTACGTGATCGTCACAAATCGTGTCGGAAATGTGGGTTCGTGAACCTTGAACTCATGAAAAGGTTGGCATGATCGTCATGAAGCCAAATGCTGTCACTATCGACGGGTCGGTGATCGATTTGAGCATGGCTGTTGGCGACGTAGCAAGAGAACTGGTGGATACGTACAGCTCGGATGTAGCCCGAGACGTTACGTGCGGAGTGTTTTCAGGCCCACTGGCAATGACGCCTTCGACGACAGTAGACATGTCATCTCGGCTGCGGTATGCCTCTTGTGGATATGACTCCAATGAACATGCTAGCCGCTTTGTGCTACACATGACGGAATGCTATTGGACTACTTGAAGCACAGCTCCACCTGTGTATTGACTGATGATGCCCAAGAAGTCGGTCGTTCCTGACAAATAAGTAAGCTGGCAAGGTCAAGATATCATGCATCTGGCATGATGGTCGCGGGCTTCGTTTCCTGTACGTCGTTCATGAGCGACATGCCAAACCTGTGTCTTCCGTTCAGTTGCACAGAAAAGTCAGATGTAATCTCTCCTTACTGTGAAGACTTGGTCGGCACTGTAATAAGCGGTCTCTTTCGCCGAAGTTTATGAATGAGCAGACCCGGCCAGGGATGTTGGGAGGTTATTGCCGTCGCAAGCCAAACGTTCACTGTTATCCGACCAGGCCGTTGGATGCAGCAAGATTTCGGCAAGACCAAGAAGTGTTTCCACGGCGGTTCTGAAGAACAAGTCGTGCTAAGTCCACATGGTTTAACGTTCCAAGGATGTCGTGGCCTCCAGGGCTTGCACCACTGCAGACAAAACGGGACTCCAGAATCGTCAAGAACGCCCGCCTGTTGAACAGTATCGAGGCGAAAGGTATGATTACGAGTGATCTGGGTAGTTATTTCGGTCGGCGTTGTACATGCGGAGAGCGGGCTGTGAGTCCGGATGGAATCAGGGGATGAAGGTGCGATGGCTCACGGGTCAGGCACGGAAATAACGACTAGCGCGACGCTAGTACGGAAGTACAGCAAACCAGCCGTGCCTGCACAGATGCCGACATCACTATCGCATCTTACGAAAGCTGGCACGGTACATATCAGGATGACCGATATCAAAGAGCCCCAGACCACGATGCCTGCTTGGTTCGAAGAAAACCCCTCACACGACCATATTCCTCCCGAGACCCAGCGGCTTCTCGAAACGTGGAGTGGAATCCCATCAGATGACGTACTTGATCATGTTGTCCGACTTCGTGAGAAAGCCTGGAAGGTCCATCCATATCCTTGTATTGGGCAGTTTCGGTTTCTCGATCCCAGTTTCTCCGAGCTCCCGGACGAGCGCAAAGAGATTGTTGAACGCCTACGCAAAGGTCAAAAGCTGTTAGACATGGCTTGCTGCGTCGGCCAGACTATTCGTACGCTTGCGAACGATGGAGCACCGACTGAGAATATGTACGGTTGCGACTTGCAGTCAGACTTCATCGAGCTGGGTTATGAGTTGTTTCGCGATCGAGAGAAGCTCAAGACGAGGTTCTTGATAGCCGACATTTTCGATCCTCGATCAGCGCTCATGGGCATCAAAGGGCAGGTCGACATGGTATATGCCGGATCTTTCTTCCACCTGTGGGGATATGAGAAACAAGTCGAAGTCTCCAAAGCCGTTATCGCGTTGCTACGCCCTCAACCAGGCTCTACGATACTCGGTCGACAGGTCGGGGCCACCGAGCCCCTCGAGAAGGAAGGTCCTACAGGCACGATGTATCGACATAATGTGGAGAGCTTTCAGAAGATGTGGAACGAGATAGGCAATGATCTCGGTATCAACTTCACCGTGGATGCCAAGCTCAAGCCGCTGGGTAGGGACCATCAGAAATTCCATCTAGACGACACTACAAGGCGGCTGTGGTTTGTCGTACGCCGTGGATAGCGCGCTTCATCTCTGCATACCGTTCAAGGAAAATGTTGGACGCCCATTATCAATACAACACCTAAAAGTCTACATTGTCTTGGGATGTTACCAGATCTCGTCGTTGTATTGATGTAGATTACAGCGCACTTGTTCAGTCTCTCCCTCGCATCTTTGATTGCTTTTTGGACTGTTCACGAGAACACCCAACCCGAAGTTTCCTGTGCCTTCCCGTGTAATGTAGTTAGTACGTCCGTCTCGGTCCGTACCTGAACAGGTATAGACGTTCAGTTATTCGAAGTGTCTGGCCCTCATCTTCTGGTGCAAAGCCGTACAAAGAGCGTGGAGTCAGGAAGTCAGATCAGATCTGTATGCATCTTAGCGAAGAGCTCTAATGCAAAGTTCCGCACCAGGTGGACATTGTCGCTATTTTTGCGCAGCAGCACTAACATATTCGCTCAACGCAGTCCAATTTTGCCGGGATGCGTAGGGATAAAGGGTCCAACTACGGCAGCCCTGTCCGCACTTTTACTTTAAGCCTAATTCCCCATACTTTTCGATATTTCGCCTTCAATTTCGAGAAGGTTGCTGATTGGCCAATTCACTCTCGGACCGTAACATCGGGAAAGCCACTTGCCTGGCTGCAGGAAGAAGTGCAAACTTCTGCTCGGTAAACATCAGTCGATCAACATCTGCCGGCGGGCGACGGTCACGTTCTCGTGTTCATTTATGGCGGTAGCAGGAATGTACGCGTTCTAGCCCATCTTGACCGAGCCAGAACACCGAGGCAGGCAAGGGGTCTGTAGTTCATCTATCCAAATGAAATGCGAGATGCAATACTCAGCTCAGCCGCTTCGTTAGTGTGAAAATGTTGCGGTCGCAAGCATAGATATTGTCTATAAGACATGGACGTTCAGCATCAATCCCGGTACCAACTCATCCCCCCAAAGTCAACTTTTAGCCAAGGCCAGAAACGACATTATGAAGTTTTCCATAGGTTTGGCGGTAGCGCTCATTGCAAGTGTAGAAGCATCTAGTCGCATAAAGAGGCAGTTCGGATATCCTGATGGTATGGACTCGTTTCACACGTCGACGAATCTTTCTAACACCGTCATTAGTGGAAGATTGTGGATTAGATGCGTTCGATGGGCATACGTCTGAAGCGGCACTCTTCTGTAGCAACATCCTCCGCTCAGGAACCGCAACTTCTACCATAACCAGTGGCTACACCACCACCACTACTACCACCCGGAAGACCACGGTAACCGTCCGGCCGACACCTACTTCTACACCGACGCCCAGCGCCACCCCTAAGCCAACCCCATCGTCTACGCCGAGGCCTACATCGTCATCAACCCCAATACCGTCTTCGTCTTCGACGCCCAAGCCAT